TACTATTCAATAGAGTGCTTGATTGATATGTTGATCTCTTAAAAGAGTGACTGAAGATTAACCACGCTGGGTGAGGGCTGTGCATCCCCCACCTACCTGCACTAACGGCTTCTGCCTCCAGCAGTGCCTGCTCAAAGGCCAGCAGAGCCAGCTGCCTTCTCTCAGTAGTATTAGATCCCTCCAGGTTAACTGCCCGCCCACTCCCACTGCTTAGCAGCTGCTGTCTGCTCTACCAACCTGTTTCCACCCATTCATCCTTGTCTCCCCACAGTGGTGCTCACAGTTAATTCCTTCACGGAGCACCAAATGGAATGAACCTACTAAATCCCTTACTCTTCTATGGGAAACATCAGATTCTGTGGGCTCACTTTCCATTCATAGTACTGTTTGGGAGAAATTCTGCATTGCTGAAATTGGTCCAGTCAACCTGTACTTCCTGAAGTAAATACTGGGCTTGCTCCACAGTGCTGCTCCAGCTCACTGGCACTCTCTCTCCCCTCATCCTGGGATGCCCACCACCTGAGCACACAGCAAGGCCACCATCTACAAGCCAGGAAGTGATCCCTCACCAGAAACACAACATGCTGGCAACCTGAACTTCAGCTTCTGCCTCCAGAACTTTAAGGAAATATATTTGTTAAGAAAAAAAAAACCCTAAGTACAAAATTGCATAATTGGGTGAGGCCAGCTTGTTTGTAGGTATAGCAATTACCGATCTTTCTTGGGCAAGATCCCCCCTCTGAATCATCGGTAATTGCTACACCTACTGAAAGACAACTTTTCAGATACCTGTTCTTACAGGATAATGAAATAATTAGAAAATTATGGAAAAGAAATCACTAGAAAATTCCCATTTCTTCCATTTTAAGATACCACTAAGACATGCTGTTTAGCCAAAAAACAAACAAACAAACAAACAAACACTTCAGAAATGAAACATGTAAAATATTGCATCTTAGAATTGGGAAATATAACTGCTAATAAACGGGATTCTCACAAGCCCTTCACCCAGCTGTGATGACTAGGTGAAACCACATGGGTACACAGGGGAGACAGCAGGCACCAGGAGGGTTAACCTGGAGGAACCGTGGGCAGCTGACCCTGTACCTATAGCCACCAAGCTGCTTTTACAAAGTGCCCAGCAGCAAGCACGTGTTGAATGTTTAAAAACCACTTCTAAACTTGGGTGTACAGTTTTGAGGAAAAATGTCAATTGAAGCCTGCCAGAATGTACTGATTTTATTTCTGGGTGTAGCCACTGGGACCACCGAGGCTTTTATCTGCATCCAGTGAGAATGCAACCCCCTCACCAGCCACCAATCTCAGTTGAGAGTGGATGGTTGAGAAGTCCCCTTGCAAAGATGACTGACAATTGCTTTGGACAAGGAATGAGAGCAAGATGCCAGGCAGAAAAGAAGGGGAAGGGCTCTGCAGGACCTGTCCTCACACTCCAGCTGGCCACGATGTTCCACACCACCCCCCTCCTTCATCTTCTGTTTAGTTTCAGTTTTGCTTCTGCCACAAATACTCTTCTGTTCTCAAATGTTAGAAAATGTTCAACTTCCATCTTCCTGAATGGCTTTCAAAAAAAAAATCTAAGGCAGGTCCTCAAGGTCATAGCCTTCTGATCTTTTCCTGATAGACTGGTTTCCACGTTGGAGTGCTAGCTGAATTGGGTGCATTTAGGAAGGATATTATATCCTACTGACTACATTGATCTTTAAAAAATGGTTTGATTTGTAGCTCCAGGAAGACCAGTTAATACAAAAAAAGACCATTTGGTATCCTATGTAACAAATAGGATTGAATAAATATGATTTCCACTTATCCTTTACTGAGGTCAATTCCTTTTTTTTTTTTTTTTTTTTGCAGTTTTTGGCCAGGGCTGGGTTTGAACCCACCACCTTTGGCATATGGGGCCAGTGCCCTACTCCTTTGAGCCACAGGCGCTGCCCCCGAGGTCAATTCCTTTTGATAAAAACAAATTCTAATGCTCTAGATTAACTCTTCATAACTGGGAATACTGGCTTCCAGTAAAACTGAGTTATAATCAAACAAAACCTTAAATTACTTGATTTCTTTGGTGCTTTTTTGATCCTTAAACTGGACTTTTGAAATAGAACATTTATCACAAACTTTCCAGTATAATGGGTTAGAGTTCAACTTGTTACTCTTCGCAGCCATATGACCAGGTATAAAGGTCAAACTCTGGGGCTTCAGTTTACTCCTCTGCAAACAGGGTACCAAAGTCACACCTAGCTCATAGTAGTGTTCTAATTTATGGAAAAGAGCTTCACATACAATATACAAAAGACTTCGTTTCTAACATTAGCTATTACTAGCATTTTGGGCCATCTTATCCCACTGGAATTATACCAATCTTGGATATCAGTTTCAGTACCTTTAACACGAACACACTCTATGCAGATGAACCCCGAGGGAAACAACTCCATCTTCTGCACAACCCACACACCTGCAGTTAGTGGGAAATCTGACTTCAAGAGAATTTCCATTTTTTCCACCTCCCCTAGTCCCCACTGTTCCCTCAACCTTCCCCCCATCATGTGCTGGTTTTATGAAATGCCCTCACACCTCTTCTATGTGCCTTACTTGCTGTATTTACTTTTGAAGACTTCCTCCTGAGACACCTTAGACATGTAATGCTTTCCATTTCAATGTTGCTCACCTCAGACGCTCATCCAAAGGATTGCTGTGTTTATGACAGGTCAATACTTTAGAAGACAATTGTTTTTATCATCAGTGTTACCCTGGGTCCAGCTAGGATGGTGACTGCTACACCATGTGGGCATTCAAGTTTTCAAATCAAATGTTCATTAGATACCATTCTATTTTATTGTGATTATTTTTAGTATTTCAGTTATCCTTTAATACTTCAGATGGCATTAGAAAATGAAAAAAGGAGTAACTTTTTTTGCCTAAAGCCTATCAATTTGCAGGTCTTTACTCTTCCCTATGATGTATGAAAAGCTCTGTATTATGTTCATAGCAATCAAGAAACTATTACATAACCACATTTTTATATGTTAATTCATCTTTCATTTTTTTTTTTTTCGGTTGGGTCTGGGTCTGAACCCGCCACCTCTGGTATATGGGGCTGGCGCCCCACTCCTTGAGCCACAGGTGCTGCCCCATCTTTTATGTTCTATACAGTCTTCATGGTCAGTCCTCGAAGTCACACAAAAGTGCTAAATTGATATTAAATTTATAAAAATCCCTTGATTTTCTAAACCTCTGCCTTATACTGTTGAAATTATAACACTTTGTTTTGTGATAATATCCAAAACAAAAAATATAAACCTTGGTTTCTAAAAGGTGACTGAAGACAACAGGCCCTTTAAGATTTCAATTCAAGACCACACTGACAGCGGATAGGTATGAAAACAGGTTGAGGAAAAATAAAAGTCTGGCATTTGCATTCTTATTTAGAAAAAATCTACAACTAGTAGCTAAAACTTATACAATGGTTACTAAATGCTGCCACATTGAACCATAATCCTATGAGGGAGGTTTATTATCATCATCTTTATTTTACTGATGAAGAAATGGGGCACAAAGAAGTTAACTTGCTCAAGGTCACACAAGAAATAAGTGGAAGAGATGAGAATCAAACAGAGGCAGTCTAGCTGCAAGTACCAGTCTTGTCATACTGTACTGTACTATGCTGCAAGATTGCTAAGGTGTTTTCTTAAACATATCCCTATTCAAATGGTATACATACGGTTCAGTTGGAAAAATCAAGACCAATCATCATCTGGCTGGAACCTTTATTATTTCAAAAATAAGCATCCTATGTATTTTGAGATGGTAAGTTATTTCTGGATTATTGTAATAAATATGTCAAAAAACAGCAATCATCTTAATAATACAGACTTCTATTCATTTAAGACTTCCAAAAATAACTTCTCTGTATCAACCTATAAAAGTCACAAGAAGTTCTATGCAGAACAGAAAGAAAATTGTGCTAGGGGAAACTAATGAAGCATTTTGCCCATTACACTTTGATATATTTCATAAACACAACCAGGTTTGCTTTGCTCTTTAGTGCTTAGACTGAGAGGGAATGCAAGAAACCAACAGTTTTAGGAGAAAAACTGCTTTCACATTCTCAAGTGTAGGTCAAGCACGGTGGCTCATGCCTGTAATCCTAGCACTCTGAGAGGCTGAGGCAGAAGGATCCTTTGTGCTCAAGAATTTGAGACCAGCCTGACCCAAGAGTGAGACCCCACCTCTACTAAAAAAACCAAAACAAAATATACCCCCCCCCCCAAAGACCCATATTCTCAAGTATAAGCCACAAACAGGCTTTTCTATAAAGGAATCAATGAAGCTTGAAGAGATGAGAAAAGCAAGCAGCTATACAATTAAATATTTCAATAAATATGCAAAAAACCTCAGCAATCATTAACCTCGCTTATGTTTGAAAAGCAAATAAATTTCATGCTCTGAGCATTTTATCTTTAGAATAGTTTTAAGGATATTTCATTTTAGAAGACTGAAAAGTAAAACTCACACATATATAATTCCACCAGGGATTCTTCATGATAAGAAGTCAAAATGACCATAGCTACAGCACTGAGGAGCAACAGCAGGCGGCTTCCTCCACCTGTGACTTTGTTTCATGCTTAACACTTTTGCTAAGTTTAGCAGACAAATTAAAAAAAAAAAAAATCACTTGTTTCCAAATACCCAGATGTCTTTCACTGGCTCATCACCAATCACTCAAGTGTTAAGACCTTGATACTCAACAAATAGACTGCAGGTGACCTTTTACTTCCCTGTGGTCCCTTTATCAAACTTCTACATCACTTATGACATCATTTATGATATTCTGCATCCAATAAAATATGCAGGCAAACACAGGTTTGCTAACTTTTACTTGACCTAGGTTTAAAAATTGACGAAATACTTATATTCTCATAGCACAAACCTTAGTTTTTACATTCATTAAACATTTTAAAATTACTCAGACATGAGAAACATGTGTGCTTATTTGGATGAGAACTACTGAATTTATTCTCCAGAAGAAAAAGCAGACCTGAAGCATCACATTACTGGAACATTTTAAAACACGTTGATATGTTCTTATCTTCTAAACTTCAACAAAAGCTGCTTGTACAAACTACTTAATGAATATCTGTCCTATCAAACAAGCAAGATATCTGATGTAGGAGAGAAGCCAGAAGTTGAGTCACTTCATTTCTTTCGGTTGCCTCCAGTTGCTAGCATAGTTGCAACTCGCATAAATATATTTAATGTATCCATGTAGACTGCCAGCATTCTAGAAAAAAGAGATTATAGGCATTACATACAATTCTAATAATGATGATACTATTTTTTAACATAGGAAAGAGGAAAAATCAATTCTGATTATTTGTCCTAGCTATATGAAATGGAAATTTAAAGTGTCTTTAACTGCCAACTAAGGAAGCCCTACATTAGAAAACAGTCAAAGTTTTTTTTAGCAGACTAATCTTTTAAATGTTAAAAGGCAGTTTTAAAAACCATTATCCTATTCTCTGACACTGAGTATAATACCTTGCAAAGAAAATTGGGTGACAGACAATGAAATAAAACAAAACCAAAGAAACACCTCTATTAAAAGTTGTTAGACAGTCTGGCATTTTTAAGTATAATATACCAGCTTCCCCTACTCCCCCCTCCCCCTCCAACTGCTACAGATCTGTAAGCTTTACAGCAATGTTTCTTCTAAGCCATTAGGTTTTATTTTTAGATAAAGAAAAGCAAATTACTTTACAAAATGTGATAGACATCACGAAGCTCAAGAAAATTGTTTAAATAAAATAACCTATTTTGGTAAATGCCAAGAAGAGAAAAAGCACTATTAGATAACACTTAATGGCAACTAAAACTCAGTTATCTCCAAAACTGGAATGTATATACCGAAGAGTTTCCTACTTCTAGAAGTACGTATAATCCTAATTCTTGAGAAGTGGGAGGATTGCCTCAGCCTAAAAGTTTGGGCTATCTCTAAAAAAAATTAAAATTATGGGAGTATTGTGGTGCATGCTTGTATTTCCAGCTACTTGGGAGGCTAAGACAGGAAGACAGCTTGAGCCTAGAAGTCTCAGGTTGCAGTGAGCTACGATGACACCACTGTACTCTAGCCTGGGCAACACAGTAAGATCTCTTGTGGGGGGGGGGGGAAGGGAGATGACAAAGAAATAGTCTTTGCAGATGTAAATAAGGTATGTTAGGGTGAGGTCATACTGGAGTAAGGTAGGCCCTTCATTCACTATGACTGGTAGCCCTCTTAAGAAAAGGAGAAGACAGCTTGAACAACACAGCAAGATCCCATATCTAACCTCCTTCTGCCCCAAATCAGCCGCCTGATGGTGATATGTGCCTACAGTTCTAGCTACTTGGGATGCTGAGGCAGGAGGATTATTTGAGCACAGGAGTGTGAGGCTGCTGTAAGCGATGAATACTATGTGGGAGCAACAGAGTGAAACCCTATATTTTTTTTTTGCAGTTTTTGGCCGGGGCCCGGTTTGAACCCACCATCTCCAGTATATGGGGCCGGTGCCCTACTCCCTTGAGCCACAGGCGCCGCCCAAAACCCTATTTTTTTTAATATTCTGTAAATACACATACATAAAAGGAGAAGAAAGAGACACACAGAGAGAATGTCATGTGAAGACAGAAGCAGAGACAAGACCGATCCATCTACAAGCCAAGGAACGCCAACGATTTCCAGCAGTAATATGAAAATAAGAAAAGTATGCAACAGATTTTCCCTGCTAAGGCTCTGATTTTGAACTTCTGGTCTCTAGAACAGAGAGAGAACAAAGTTCTGAGGTTTTAAGCAATGCAGTTTGTAATATTTTGTTACAGGAGCCCTGGAAAACTAAGTAACAGCTATAAAACAAAATAGATCAAACTAACATGAACGTCCTTACGTAACAGTAAGAACGTTAAAAATTACTTACGCATTGATGGGATCATAGTTTTGAACTCCATACATTGGTGTTATTTCTGCTCGCTTGATTATTTTCTGGGTATCATACAGGAGGAACATGCTGAAAAGAACTAATCCACCATACATTGCCACTGAGTACAGAGTGGCACCAGCCACAGTGGTAGGTGGAAGAAACATAGATCCTGAAATAAAAACGGGGGGGGAAAAAAAATGAAGTTTTTTTTTTTTCTTTTTTAAAAAAGGACTTTCCAGCCAGGCATGGTGACTTATGCCTGTAATCCTAACACTTTGGGAGGCTGAAGCAGGAGGATCTCTTGAACTCAGGAGACCAGCTTGAAGAAGAGTGAGACTCCATGTCTACTAAAAATAGAAGAAACAGCCAGGCATTATGGTGGATGCCTATAGTCCTAGCTACTCAGGAAGCTAAGGCAGGAAGCACTTGAGCCCAGGAGTTTGAGGTTGCTATGAGCTAGGCTGATGCCACAGAACCCTAGCCTGTGCAACAGTGAGATTCTGTCTCAAAAAACAAAAATTAAAAAACCTTTCACTATTCTCTTTGATATACTGTGCTGGTAAAAAGACATCTGAGTATCTATATTGGATAATCTTAATTTAGTTCAAAACCCATGATACCCATTCCTCCAAAAGGCCCACATGCCCTCGTTATAGGAAGACCAATTTCATGTTTTCCAGACCAACTTTCCCATTTTAGATGTATTTGGTAAAACCAATTATAATGGTTGACCATATTGCCAAAATGACATCACATTAATAAAATACATTCAAATTAGCATATAACTTTTAAACTTTAAAAAATGACTCAATAAATTAGGATACTTGAGCATTTCAGATTTTAGGATACCATGAACCAAGAACCAATTGTCAAAGCACAGAAACTTACCCAGTGAGGACACAAAGACAAGACCCAGGCCCACTCCCAGGGGTGCTCCCATGTTCAGAAACTTCTCACTGGGCGCACACATGGCCACAGTGGAGAGGCCTCCCACAATGCCAGCTGTATACCACGCCGCTCTGATGAGAAGAGGCCCTCCTAATATTGTCAGAGGAGCCACCACTGCACCCATCACACCTGGAGAAAGAGCAAGTGCTTGTTAAGTATTTATTAAATAGGAAGCTAAGGGAAAATGCCACTTCTAAAATGGGCCAACATGTTATATCTTATTGTTTAACCAATATAATTACAAAAAGTTTTCCCTTTAGGCCAGATACAGTGGCTCACACCTCTAATTCTACCACTGTGGGAGACTGAGGTAGGTAGGCTCATGAGTGCAGGAGTTTGGGACCAGTCTGAGCAAGAGTGAGACCCTGTCACAGCTACTTGGGAGGCTGAGGCAAGATCTCTTGAGGCCAAGAGCTTGAGGTCGCTCTGAGATATGTCACTCTACCTAGGCTGACAGAGTGAGACTCTGTCTCAAAAAATATTTTCCTTTTAGGTCATACTACCCCTAAAATTCTACAATCAAAATCTGGACTACTCAAATTTTATACCACAACATTAATAAACACTATTCCTAGTCGAACAGTTACAACTCACAAGTATAAATATTAATCTATATTTTTACTGTCAAATCCCATGTAGCTCACTATTTGGATCTTACCAAAAAATATATATTATTTTAATTTTGAGACAGAGTTTTACTTTGTCACCCTTGGTAGAGTGCTCTGGCATCACAGCTCACAGCAACCTCAACTCCATGGGCTCAATGATCATCTTGCCTCAGCCTTCCTAGTAGCTGGGACTACTACAACAATGCCTGGCTAATTTTTTTTCTATTTTTAAGCTGTGGTCTTGCTCTTGCTCAGGCTGGTCTCCAACTCCTGAGCTCAGGCAATCCACCTGCCTCAGCCTCCCAGAGTGCTAGGATTACAGGCGTGAACCACTGCACCCAGCCTTACCAGTTTTTACAACCATTGTATAAAAACTGAGATAAAAAGTTTTAGAATAAATAACTCAAGGTCAAACCCTACTGCTGCCAGACGGGAATAAAGTAAAAAAAGAGAAAAAGGTATGATAATCTTGAAATGTAGGAACTTCTAGGACACTGCTGTTACTTTCGTAATAAGGAATGCTATCACAGTAATTGTAGTTATCAGTTATAAATTCTTCATAAAATTATAATAAAGTATCACTCATTTAATTAATAAAGGTAGATGAAATTCCTTAATTAAAAATTTTAGATAAATCATTATTTCAGTGCTGAGCAGAACAACTTACCCTATCCTTACATAGTTTACCTCATAGACTAGGAACCCTGGTTGTTGAATACTGCATATCACTTTTGCAAGAGTCACATTTCTAGATCAAATATAAAGCATACTGTATCTCATGATGATGGACAATTTAAAAATACTTTTTGTTATAGAAAATATGTTGGCTATAATTTTCTATTACATATAACTTTTCTATCAGAATTCCCATTAGTTCTGCATTTGACAGCACAATGTTTAGCAAACTTTTCTCTAACCTTAGAATTTTTAAAATTTTTTCTAACGATATCAAATAAAATTTCTCAAGAGATGTTTATCAGATCAGAAATCATCCTGGTACTGGACAGAATACACGAAAGAAAATCTCTGCATAGACTGTTACAGGAGACAAGTTCAATATTTGGGATGTCTGTGGTCTTCGTGTTGAATCAACTTTTCAGAGCAAAGTTCTGGTAATAAGGCAACTAGTAATGACTGAAGAAAATGAAGTTTCATTAAGCTATGTATAAACAATTACAACCAAAAGCCACCTAGAAGAGGTAGTATGCAAGGTTGTTTAACAATTAAAAATAGAACTTACCAGAATGCAGCATCCAAGCAAGATGCTTTGGGCCTGGGCTTTGGTCATACGGTATTGACCGAACCAGCATTCCAGCTCCAATCATGGCAGCAAAGGTGGCACCAATTGTCTGAAAAGACATGTTAAGAAAAAGTGATCATTATTCAAAACAAAAGTACAAATTCCTAAGTTTCAAGTACAATTAGTTACTTCTAATAACTCATTTTTAAAAAGGAGGAGGATATTAAACTGAATCCTATTATTTTTCTGGCACATTAGAGGTCTTAGGTTTATTTCAAAATATTGACTAAGTTAGCAAGGGTGCCCCCTACTGCCATATATAAGGTTTTGCAGACAGCTTCAAGTACATGACCTGAGCTTGGTCTGGCACCATGATCTTTTAACAATTCTACTCCTGTTCGATACAGGTCAAAAGAAAATTCTTTTAGAATCTCAAGATAATTATTATTAATTAAAACATACATCTTGGTATGGGATAAACAGCACTTTAAAAATCAGTCACAACCTACTAGTATATAGTACACTGAACTTCTTATTTGCTAAATGAAAACCTAATAAAGAAATCACAGCACATGAAGAGATGAAAAGTAAGTTTACTTGTCTATCCTTCCAGGTTTATGGCTGACTAGCTCCTCATCCCACTTCTTTATCTATCTTAGGCTTCCATTGTTATAACATTTAAATGTTCCTTGTATATAAAAAGACTGTGTATAACAAAAGTGATGAGCCATCTTCAAGAAATTTAAGACAGAGATTGTACACTTGGACAGAATCAGGCAGATTGTTTTGTCTGGCCAACTGTTAAAAAACTGACTGTGATCAATGCTTTTAGTTGACAGGCTTTCTTTAACTGTCAGTAATCCTCTGTGTGACAGGCCAGGCCTCCTTGCTCATCTGTATTGTATGTCTGATGTATGGATATCAGACTGTTCAACCTGTGATGTGAAGTACAGGTAAAAAGAACAGCTGTTTGCTGAGATTAGGAAAACATTAATACAGAAAAGAACACTATGCTCCATTCCACCATTTTCCAATGCAGAAATAGTTACTAAAAACTACTTCACGAATCCACAACACAGTATTTTCAGGATATTTACAAAAATTATATTTTTTAATTTTAAAGTCCTTCAGGATTCATGATCTAGTCTCACATTTTGCCTTTTATTTTTCTACACTCTACGTACTGGACTGGCAGGGCTGCGAACACACCTCAAAGTTTCATGCCTCCTTAACTCTGTTCATTGAGTCTAAGAACACCTCCTTCCTACCTGGTTGACTAAGGAATTGTCATCTTGTCTTGAAAGCTTTTTCTAGTAGGTACCCTGGCTGTTCAGTAACAGAGTCAGGTGCCTTCTCTGTTCTGAAAGCACATGGGACAAACTTTAATATACCTGCATATGTGTGTATGTCTGTTATCTCCAAAAGGCAGTTATCTTTATCGCTGCAGCACCTGTCTTTGGTCTCCCAATTATTTTAAGTATCCCTAAACAGTGGAGGAAAGTGACCTTTTGCCCACAGGGGCTTGAGGAGATAGCCCAAGCATAAAACTTGCTTTTAGTCTCATTTTAGGGCCTCAAAGTTTAGGTACAATTTAATCTTTCATAATATTATGTTTTATTACAAAAGTATTGTTTTAAATTACTTACTTCTGATTAAAACTAACATTCCTAGTGAGAATGCACCATACTTTTTCTGTGCCTTCACAAACCTCAGGGCTGGCTAGAAAATTCATGACAGCCATTGGACAAGCATGATCCTAAGACTACAAAAGTGTCCAAATGGCTATGCTACCATACACTGGTTCTCCTTTTGGAAAGTACAATGTAGTAGAAATATTATGGGTTTGGGTTTTCTCTGTGGGAAATCGCTAAGTATTACATAAACCCTCCCATCCCTCTTTCCCTTCCACTCACACACTCGTTGCTCTAGCTCAGGCTCTCATCATCCCTTACTTCAAATCCTATAAAAGTAAACCTGCTTCACATCTTTTTCACGTCAGTTCATAAAACTCAAATTAAAATCACTTTCACTCCCTGGTATCTTTGATAGCCTCTTACTGCTTAGGTACTCTCCTCAGCCTGGCAATCAGACATATCCATGTCTTCTTGGCACTCCAGGCCTCAAACAACTGAATGTCACTCTAAAGGCATAGTTAAGTTGCTTTTAAAATTAGGATTTCCTATCTCTTCTTTGCTCAACTTGTTTGGTAAAAATGGACTGCTCCTGTTTTCTTCTAAAATAAAACATGTCACTTTTCAACAACCCTAAGGAAATAAATGTCTCCATCATAGAACTTCCCTAATAGTCCAAAACAAACTTGCAAATTAACTTTGCACTTTTACCTCTTTTTGCACATCTTGTATACTTACTCCACTTCATCTCTTCTACCAGATTAAGAGAATATAGGATCTGTATCTGAAATCATATTCTGGTATTTACCAAAATAACAACTAATCAAGAAATATTTGATGAATATAAAATCTTGTACAAGGTCAAGAAGCGTAGGAATCATTGCAGTAATACTAGTCTAATTTTATTTATTTAATTAAATCATAGCTATGTACATTAATGCAATCATGGGGTACAATGTGCTGGTTTTATATACAATTTGAAATGTTTCCATCAAACTGGTTAACACAGCCTTCATGGTATTTTCTTATTGTGTTAAAAGATTTATATTCTACATCTAGTAAATTTTTTTTTTTTTTTTTGAGACAGAGCCTCAAGCTATCCTCCTGGGTAGAGTGCCGTGGCATTACAGCTCACAGCAACCTCCAACTCCTGGGCTCAAGCGAGTCTCCTGCCTCAGCCTCCCAAGTAGCTGGGACCACAGGCGCCCGCCACAATACCTGGCTATTTTTTTTTTTTTTTTTGGTTGCGGCCGTCATTGTTGTTTGGTGGGTCCGGGCTGGATTCGAACCTGCCACCTTAGGTGTACGTGGCTGGCGCCTTAGCTGGTTGAGCTATAGGCGCCGAGCCCATCTAGTAAATTTCACATGTACCCTTGTAAGATGCACTGTAGGTGTGGTCCCACCAATTACTCTCCCTCCACTCATCGTCCCCTCCATTTCCCTTTCCCTTTCTTCTTGGGTTTCATAGTAAGACTGAGTACATTGGATATTTTTTCTTCCATTCTTGAGATATTTTGCTAAGAATATGTTCCAGCTCCAACCATGTAAACATGTAAGAGGTCAAGTCTCCAAAAATATGGAACGCTTCACGAATTTGTGTGTCATCCTTGAGCAGGGGCCATGCTAGTCTTCTCTGTATTGTTCCAATTTTCATATATGTGCTGCTGAAGCAAGCATTATTTTATTTTTTGAGACCAGTCTCATTCAGTTGCCCTGGGGTTGAAAGCCATGATGTCACAGCTCACAGCAACCTCAAACTCTTGGTCTCAAGTGATCCTCTTGCCTCAGCCTACCAAGATGCTGGGACTACAGGCACCTGCCACAACACCTAGCTATTTTTAGAGGTGGGGTCTCGCTCTGGCTCAGGCTAGTCTCAAACCTGTGAGCTCAGGTAATCCACCTGCTTCGGCCTCCCAGTGTTGGGATTATAGGCATGAACCACTACACCCAGCCACTAGTCTACTTTTTTTTTTTTTTGGCCAGGGCTGGGTTTGAACCTGCATATGGGGCTGGCGCCTTACTCCTTTGAGCCACAGGTGCTACCCTGTAGTCTACTTTTAAATAGCACAGAATGCTTAGGTATTTCCCTTTGGCCTCTAAGATAATTTTGTATTTGCTTTATTTTTTAGTAAATTGTTACAAAATAGAGGCTGTTTGTTAACTGCTGCTAGACAAGGAGGATGTCCCCGTAAATTCAATTTCTAACTCCTTTGGTACTATTAGATCACAAATTTGGCAAAGAATAATAGCTGACTTATTTCAGAATGCACTTCCTAATTAGTCTCAGCTGAACTAATATAGGTTGAGTATCCCTTATCTAAAATGCTTGGGATCAGAAGTGTTTCAAATTTCAAGTTGTTTTTTCAGATCTGAAATATTTACATTATACTTACCTGTTCAGTATCTCTAATCTGAAAATCAAAAATCCAGAATGCTCTAATGAGCATTTCCTTTGAGTGTTATGTGCTTTGAGTGTTTTGTTGGTGCTCAAAAAGTTGTGGATTTCAGAGCATTTTTCAGATTTTCAATTAGGGGTACTCACTGTAATTCATACATTTGAACAAAAACTTGTTCAACAGTAGTCTTTCTACTTCATACTTCTCCCTCCCAATATATTTCATCTAATCTTTGATCTTTAAACAAAAAAGATAACAAAACAGCTGACTTACCACCCAAGAGCCTCTCATCATGAAGTTCATTATAGCAGGAGTTCTGCTTATTGCCACTGCAGACAAAGCTGTTAAACCAATACTTCCTGCTAAGTACATATAGGTAGAATGAATTCTATCCCTCACATACTGAGGCCAAATTCTGTAAGAAACACAACATGGTTAACTTATGAAATTATGGGTTTGCATTCTGGTTGAGTTATTCACCAGGTGGGTGACCATGGGATAAATCATTTTATTACTTTAAGTCTTATTTCCTTTATCATGGAAATAATTATGCATACTTTATACATAGATGAAGACTAGACACAAAACATTCCAAAAGTGAGTAAGATAAGGAAGAAAACTGACCTTTTGTTTTAAAGGCTGAAATTGGGAACAATTTACTTACACAGCCTTTTCAATAGCTCCAATCTCATTAGACATTCCCAAGCCATAGTAGCATAATGCTCCAAGACCAACAGCTGCCCCTCCAGCAACAAACCATCTTCCCATTTGATCAACTGCAAAACACAGGAGGAAATACAGGTTAATACTGACATGTTTTAATTAAATTAATGTACTGATGGTGAGGCTGTCACAGTATTTAGGAGGGAAATCAAATCATATACTGTTTCTTCACAATGGCCATAATTAGTGCAAATGGGCAAAAAGAAACAATCTCAATGTAAGGGACCAATAGAAAGGGAAACTCTTCAAAGAAATATGTGATAAACAGTACAAAAAGGAAAGGACCATTGCTTACTTTGATTTCACCCCTTCTGAGGTGGCAGTATAACTGGACATGTGGAAATCCTTCTGTGATACACATTTACTTTATTAATAAAAAGTTGGGATGTGTTCTTATGACATACTTACAATAAAAAATGAGAAGGAAATGTCAACAGTCATACCACACTGTGTCCAAAGTAGTATTAGCAAAGATGATGCTTTACGTGGAGGGTCAAAAAGAAAAAAGAATCAAAAAATAAAAATGCTGTTTATGTAGCAGAATCAAGAGGAGGATGTGTTCGGGTCACTTAATTCTTAATCTGAAACATATGCAGATAGTACACACTTGAAAGAAGACTCAACATCAGGTGTCCTCAAACTGCGGCCCGCTGGGTGTTTTTGCCACAGCAGCCTGTCCTGCTTAGCAGCCTACTCGTCCTGGGGCCCACAGTCTGGCCCTCCAACACTCTGAGGGACAGTGAACTGACCCTCTGTTTAAAAAGTTTGAGGACCCCTGCTCTACATACTTCAAATGAAGTTCAATAAACCATCCCTTTCAAACTGGCATATTATCTAATAATCCTTTTCTTTGAAAAAAAGGAAAGTAATCCTTCATGTTTACATGGATGGAGCTGGAAAATGTTCTTAGCAAAGTATCCCAAGAATGGAAGAAAAGGTATCCAATGTACACAGCCCTATTATGAAACTAATTTATAGCTTTCATATGAAAGCTATAACCTAATTATGGCCTAAAAATATAGGGAGAGGAGCGGGGGAGGGGAGAGAATGGGTGGAGGGTGATTGGAGGGATCACCTCTATGGTTTATCTTTCAAGGGTACAAGTGAATCTTTCTAAAAGTAGAATATAAATGTCTTAACACAATAACTAAGAAAATGACATAAAGGCTATGTTAACCAGTTTGATGAAAATATTTCAAATTGTATATGAAAACACCACACTGTATCCCATGATTGCATTAATATACACAACTATCATTCCAGAAAAAATAAAAAAAAGGAAAGTAAAATTGTAAAATTTCCAGTAGAAGAAATGGCTGGGAACCACTGAATTCAGTGCAAAGTACCAATCTTTTGGGGATACTTAGATCTGAGGGTAATAATTTAGCCTTTCTTCCCAGAAAGTGCACAAATACACAAGTTTGCATATACAGGGTAGATATAAAGTTCATGTGCAATTTAAAATAGTTTAACATAGTAAATTGCACACAAATTTTATGGACACCCTGTATTTTTAGAAGATTGTTCATGGACCTCTTAGAACATATCCACAGACTCCAGTATAAAAAAGGCAAAGACTGCCACCTACTTTTAAATATTTTTTCCACTGATGGTTCCAATGCTGCCTCTTTGAGTTCTTGGCCAGTTTTCCCACGCCGGACCCCCATTCTTGTCTTGGTGGCATATTCCTGACATACATGCAAACAAAAACATATATAACACCCACACCAAAACAGAAATCTTAATAAAATGGGAGAATCTCCTTACACTGGAAACCTCTAGTTAAAGAAACTTGGTACTTTTATGCATGTAATTTTACAAGAAAAGTTTGTTAGCCAACCTATAAAATCATCTGTGCTCCATCTTTGAAGTGATTCAGTAGTTCAATAAACTCTTAACTTCTTAAAGTTTCAGAATGACTGCTTTTTTAATAAACTACACATTTTATCTATATACCTAGAACTACTATACAGGATGTCTCAAAAGTCACTATAATAAAAATATATGAAATAATTTTTTCTTATTTTAACATTTATACATCAACACAGAAATATTTTGTAAAATTTAGCAAATAAAGGTACGTTTAGCTATAGTGTCCCATTTTCCCTATGTATGTTTATAGTGACCTTTGAGACAACCTATATTTAAAACACTAAATACATGTCAAGATAAGAGTCTATTAACATTTTAGGAATCAATTAACATTTAAAAAAATGCATTCCGTAAGCATAGCTACCCTTTGTAATCTGGGAAAGGAGCTCAAGAAAAGTATCTTTCCTTAACATGAAGCAAAAGGAAGGGATAACTATTATCTCTGTTTTGGCTATTTTTCAATGCTGGGACTGTGAAGAGACCAAAAACTGTTTCCTTCTAGTTTCTGCACATACTCCTTCTACTTTGAATGCCTGAGGAGAAATCTTTTGTAAAAGAAAATAGGCTTCTTTCTAACCTGACAAATTTTATCATTCTCTAACCAAGAGTTGAAATATATTGAACTAGAGCCTACTGTGAAATTTTTAAAATGAGCTGACATAGTATCTTTAGTAAATTTTGTTTTCTTTTTTTTTTTGGAGACAGAGCCTCAAGCTGTCGCCCTGGGTAGTGCTGTGGCATCACAGCTCACAGCAACCTCCAACTCCTGGGCTCAAGCGATTCTCCTACCTCTGCCTCCCAAGTTGCTGGGACCACAGGTGCCCTCCGCTACACCGACTATTTATTTTTTTTTTTTTGGTTGCAGCCGTCATTGTCATTTGGCGGGCCAGGCTGGATTCGAACCCTCCTGCTCACGTGTATGCGGCTGACACCGTAGCCACCTGAGCCACAGGCTCCGAGCCAGTAAATCTTGTTAATAAAGTTATTGGGTAATATGCCTGGGTTCTTAAGCTTCTGACTACAGGCCCCACAATCTCTTTGTTCTCCCATATAATTCTCAATATCTCACAATGTACTGTAAATTTTCCAAATGAAAAATTATAGGAGTTTTACGGAAATGTTATAGGAATTCTTTTTCTCTTTTATATGTGATAAGGAAGGACTAGAATGGTATGAAACTAATGGGAGGCAGAGCATAGTGGCTCACACCTGTAATTCCAGCATTTTAGGAAGCTGAGATGAAGGCTCACTTGAGGCCAGGCAGTTGAGACCAGCCTGACAACACAGCAAGATCCCCTCTCTACAAAAAATAAGAAAAATTGGCCAGGCACAGTGGTATGCGTCTGTAGTCCCAGTTACTTGAGAGACAAAAGTACAAGAATCACTGGAGACCAAGAGATGAAAGCTGTATTAAGTTCAACTATGCCACTAATGCACTCCAGCCTGGGTGACAAGGGAGGAAGGGAGGGAGGGAGGGAGGGATCGAGGGAGACACGAAGGAAGAAGTCCTAGAGGCACAAACAAAGAAAAAATTAAAAAATACTCAGATTATCTTTACCCTGCTGGGTGTTAAGAGCCACTGATTCTTTAGGATGGAATTCTTCACAACAGGGGAGGCCTTGGTGAAAGTTGGGTGGAAAACCCTGGAAGGTAGTGTCCGGAGACACACAAGCCTTGACGCCAGCATGGTGGTACACCGGGTTTACCAAGCAGATCTGAAATGCTAGTCAGAGACAGGGAAAACATAATAATAAGAAAAAAAACACCATTAACCAATTCAGAAGATATAGAAGAGCCAGAGACAAGGGAGAAATTATTTTTTAGCAGAAATGATGGAATAAAGCGATGTTTTAATTTTCAATAATGAATCCTCTACTTGCCCTAAGTAATTCAAGAAACCCATCCCACAGAACTTGGTTTGGGATGGAGCACCAGATGAAACTTAATTTCCAGTTTGATCAATAACAGGACATATGACTCTGCAAAAGCTACAAATATTAATACCTGAACATTATACAGGGTCTGTGATGGCTTTTACAAATGTACTTTTGGCTTAGCACACTGCTGACCAGTCACAGGTTACTTGGTAACGTGCATAGTTTCCGTGTAAAACCGCTGATCAACAAAGTGTTAAGATGTTAGAGATGCTCAGTGATTCTGTATTACCAGCAGCTAAGAGATGAGGCTGGGAGAAAAAAATAGGCTGAATTTGGAACAAATGGGAATTGGGACTGGGGGAAATGAATCAGGGAAAGGGTGCTGTGTTAACACATTGTTGACTGGCAATTTAACACAGAAACTACATTACCAAGTAACTCATGACTGTCAGCTGTGTGAGATTTGCACCAGCATTCAAGAAAAAAAGTTAAATTCTAATTTCAGCTAATTATACTTCCCTTCAAGATATGCAAATATTCTAAATTAACCTCTATCTCCTACCGTAACTACATAAAGAACATTCAATCCTTCAAAGTAAACTCAGCTACCAACCAGGTTTCCTCCATACTTAGGTTCCTTCAGTGGTGTCCTCAAAGGAAAAAAAAAAAAACATGCTAAAAACTGGATTCTCTTAACTCCAGGGCAGATAATACTAGAGGATGGCCAGCCACAAGTTAGTTGAATGTCTTTCTATAATGTTAAAATGACCGACAGGTGAGAATGAGATGATAAGCCAACTTGGGATACCAGCACATCTCTACCAATGACTTGTAGTGAATATTCAGGAAAGTAACTCTCCTTTTCTCCTTTCCTCCATCTGTAACATAAGAGAACTGGACTGAAATGCTGCTCAGATGACAGTGCTGACCCTTGGGATACCTATTCTGAAACTGCCTAGACACATCTTAAAATGTAGACTCCTTTTACTTTGCTCCTGACGATTTTACTTGTAGAAATAGGACCGAGAATAAGTGTTTTAACTCGCAACGCCTAAAAGCTAAGAACTCTTGAGTTAAAATAGTTAAGTGTCCTTCCTGCTCTGTTAGGAAATACAATACTCAATACCTGTCCATTCTGGCACTTTCATGCCACTATTATCTCAACTACAGCTGTCCTATCTTCTTCCTCAGCCCACTAGAGCCGAAGAGGCTCAGGTTAGAATGGCCTTCATGTTCCTTAGCAGCCTAAGGTGGGAATCCTGCTTCTGCCACGACCTTGTGCGGGTATTGGACCTCTGAGACTCCAGTGCCTGGAGAAACGATTACAGTCCCTTACGTAAGGGCTTACGCCTCAGTGAGCACTGACGAACTTTGACGCCTGGTCCCCACAGAAAGCTCACCCAACCCATTAGACTCAGATAAGAAAACAAGAGCAAGCCATCCATGCCAACTCTCCAACTTCCCCCGCCCCTGTCTCGGGTGCTCCTTTATCCGCTAGAGCAGCGGCCATACGACCCCGCTGTCAGCATGATTCAGCACCTCGCTGCCCAGAAGCCAGAGAGGGAGAGCCCTTGCCCGCTTGTCCCAGAGCCGGGGCCACCGCCCTTTTCACCCGGTCACCCACAGGACGGCGACTCTGACGTGCAGCCCGGCCGTGACGCAGCCAGCGGCACCGCCGCCTTCAGCCCTCTCAAGCAGAACCACGACGCCCATTCCCGTCCGGAATACTGGGAATCCCAGACGCCTACTAGCCGGGAGAAACGGTACCTCAGTCCCCAGTCACCTCCACCACGCTGTTCCCCTTCCGGGCGGGCGAAACACACACCCCCCCACCCTCTGGCCTCCCGCCTGCTCCTTACTGCTTCTGCGCGCGCAGTCTTTCCTGCTCAGCGCTCGACGTAACATCCGGAAGACGGTAAATAGCATAACCAGCCAATCAGGAGAAGGTCTGCGACGGAAGGGCGGGCACAGTGGGGAGGAGGGGATCCGGGTTGATGGGGAGGGGCCAGTTGGGGATTGTTTCTGGAAACGTCACAGTCAGCGTCCATCTTGGGTGTGGGCAACGAAGTCGTCTTAGCCATCTTAATTTCGGGAAGCTGAGCTCTCTTTTTGCTTTTGTCTCAGTCTCTTTTTTTTTGCAGTTTTTGGCCGGGGCCGGGTTTGAACCCACTACCTTTGGTATATGAGGCTGGCGCCCTACTCCCTTGAGCCTCAGGCGCTGCCCCTGTGTCAGTCTTTTCACTCATAACAAATAAAAAATTGTTGAAAAATTAACAGGAAGTGGTGTTAAGAGTTCCAAGTTATTCCATCGCCCTGCTTCTTTCTTATTGCTCCCTCCCAATTTATCGTGAGATAAATAATGGTGTGAAATGAGGCTGTTTTTTACTGGAACTATTTGGTTTCTTCGATCTGACGCCAAAGGCTATTTAGATTGTGAAATCCTGCAATGTTTTTTTTTTTTGCTTTTTCATTGCCTTGTGACCTTGTCACAGCACTTTCAAGCTTTTCTGTATATGCGTTCAGTACTGCTGACAGCGGGCTCTGCCTTTCAGCCGGGTTCCGGTTCCGAGGACTTTTAAGCTGTTTCCGTTGCACATAATTTGTTCTTTGAAAAGCCATTTCTCATTCAGATAAGCGAGTTTTTCCTCTTTATCTCTGTGTTTCCTTTTCAGTATTTACTGATGGATGGCTCAACTTTGTACCAAGCACCATACTGGGCGTATATACAAACAAACCAAACACTCATGGTACCACTGCTTTGGCCAAAGTCCTTCCCCTTGTAGCTCCACTCTCTTGTGGAGACAAAACAAAAAATGTGTTAGGCGGTATAAGTACCATGGAGAAAGAGCAAGGTAAAGCCCTAGAGGGGTGCTGTTTTAAAGAAGGTGATTAACACATGAAATTCACGAACCTTTTATTATCTCCTAAGCAAGCATTAATTGTGATTTATGATTTTTTCCTAGCCCCGTAAATCTTGACAAACATAATGATTTGCCTTCTATGTGGGTAATAAAACAGTCTGGCATCAACAAGAGTTCTTATCTCTTTCCTTTGAAAATGGCAGAAAAACATGAGAGAAATGTGTCACTTATGATATTGAACAAATCAAGCATGATCAATTTAATCTTACTTTAGATCTTTGCCCAATTTGGTTAGCTAGCAAATAGGTTTTCTATCGAGCTCCTTCAGCGATAGGGTTTCCTTTTTTTCCTAGAGCATCTGTTATCAGCAAAGGAAGGGATTTGCAATGCAGTACCTGAAGGAAGGACTCCACATTCCTTCAGGACTCCTATTAATTGAAGCTTATTCTCTTTTATTGGAAGAAACATTTCTGATTTTATATTTTCCTTTCCCAAATAAGGGGCTTATATTGTTTTCACAGGTGTCAAATTTTGAAGCAGGGGGAGTTTGTGGCAGATTTATTGCTGAGGTGGAATTTACAGTATTTAATGACTGACTGAATACAGTTTATAAGAATGAGGATGCACCATCAGTATCCCTGTTCTGAATTTGAGTGGATAATTATGCCATTAATTTAGAGTTAGGATACAGACAAATGAAGAGATACAAATTGGGGGGAAGTAGCTAGGTAAAGCTTAGTTTGAAGTGTTAAGTTGTAAGTTCTCTGCTTCAAACTTCTTGCACTTAGTGGCGAGGAAAGAAAAAGCCGGGCACAATGGTGTGCACTTGTAGTCCCAGTTACGCAAGAGGCTGCCTGCGAGTTCAAGGCTAGCTTTGCCAGGCTTAGTAAGACTCTCACTAAAATAAATAAGTCAATAAATAAATAAATAAGAGGGACAGTGCCTGTGGCTCAGTGGGTAGGGTGCTGGCACCATATACTGAGGGTGGCAGGTTGAAACCAGCCCCAGCCAAACTGCAACAAAAAATAGCTGAACATTGTGGTGGGTACCTGTAGTCCCACCTACTTGAGAGGCTAGGCAAGAGAATTGCCTAAGCCCAAGAGCTGGAGGTTGCTGTGAGCTGTAATGCCATGACACTCTACTGAGGGCGATAAAGTGAGGCTCTATCTCTTAAAAAAAAAAAAAAAAGTTACCAATAAATAAATAAGAAAAGACACGATTCATGAATTCCAATACTGTATCTCTACATCATGATTTTTATTACAGGTTGCTGACTGGTTCCTCATTCTCCACCTGCTGGCTAAATGGGAAGTGCTGGGTTATGGTGGAGAAAAATATGAGCCAAAGTAAGAAGAGAAAACATTTCATTTTCTTTTTTTTTTTTTTTTTTTTTTTCAGTTTTTGGCCAAGGCTGGGTTTGAACCCGCCAACTCCGGTATATGGGTCAGGCGCCCTACTCCTTTGAGCCACAGACGCCGCCCTAATTTTCTTTTTTCTTTTCTTTCTTTCTTTCTTTTTTTAGGAGGGGGACAGAGTCTCGCTTTTTCATCCTTGGTAGAGTGCTGTGGTGTCATAGTTCACAGCAACCTCCAACTCTTGAGCTCAAGCAATTCTCTTGCCTTAGCCTCCCAAGTAGCTGGGACTATAGGCACCCACCACAACGCCCAGCTATTTTTTTTTTGAAACAGGGTCTCACTTTTGCTCAGACTGGTCTCCAACTTGTGAGCTCAGAGCAATCCATCTGTCTCAGCCTCCAGAGTGCTAGGATTGCAGGCATGAGCCACTGTACCTGGCCAAAACATTTACTTTTAGTTAAGATAAATATTCTCACCCTGTCTCACCAGACTTTTCCATCAAGATATGTGGTGTGGGTGAAAGAGGGTTAGGAAATTCATGAGGGCTTTAACCTCTGCCCTCCTCGATGGGGTCTCCAAACAAAGGGAAGGTGCTACTTCCTGAAAGGTTGGGGATGTTTCCCAATAGAGGGACAGACTGGCACCAGTGTCTCATGTGGGATTTGCTAGCACATAGCAAAACATAGCAGGTAGGAAGGGGACAAGATCTTCCCTCACGTTGGCCTTGCTTTCTCTTGGAATCCCTGAGGCCTAAGTAAACTCAAGATGTACTTGCAAGCACGTGCCTGCTTATCTGCACCTTCCTAGAAGTGAGAGTGGCACTAGATGTATCACTGAAGATGGCTAGATGGCACCAACAGACCATTTATTGTGCCACATGACAGAGCCAGCATCTGGCTCTACTTGGGTGAGAGACCAAAAGGTGCTCAAAAGTTAAATCCTGTCAGCCATGGAAGGAAAATGAAACTGTGGCTGAGCAGGGCACTGCTGCCTCTGGATCCTGCTGAGGGCAGTGCCTGTGTGAGAGGGCACTGACCAGAGGGCACAGCAGAGGAGCAGAGAGCAGGCCAAGCCCATTCCCTCCTGTTTCATCTAAGTGTTTCTAATCCAAGTGGGGCTCAGGATACGAGAAAGGGCGACTGATAGTGATAAATCCTGAATCTGACTGACAAATTGTCAGTCATTTTCTGAGCTTTCCAGAATGAAATAAAATAGACTGTCTGCTCTAAGCTGACTGTGGTCTCAAAGGCAACACTGATGGCAGTATGGAGAAAAATGTAGTTCAAGTTTGCACTCACTCAACTGGAAAATTTCCATATATACTCCTCATCTATGTGCAACCAAATGGGTCAAAAGGCAAGGTCACCAATAAGGTACTATCTGTGTGGAGGGATGGATATTGGAGGCATCTCGAGAATAATCTCATCCTTCCTACTCAGGTTACCAAAGGGAAATCAAGACTCAGAACTGATAATAACTTTTCTTAAGAGGACATAGTAAGGTAAATGGCAGCTCTGGGTTTAGTACATACTTTCTAACTGGAGGTAAAAAGTTCTTGAAGGATGAAAAAAACTTTTTCTTTATATATCCCATGCATAGATATGCATATAGTAGATGTGCCAGTATGTTTGTAGCATTAAACTTTTAAAGGGGAGGGTAAAAAAGAAAAGTATTTCAAATGGATCTTTAGGGAAGCAATCATAAGAAAAAAGGCTGAGAAACCCTGGTCTGGAGTGTAGGACTTTTGTAAGTCATGGTGGTCTACTCCAAATGGCAGGCAGCCTCAGTAGAAAAGCTTTTGGTTGTGTTCTTTTATAATACTATCAGTAAATTTCTTTCTTTCTTTTTTTTTGACACAGAGTCTCACCATGTCACCCTTGGTAGAGTGCCACGGTATCACAGATCACAGCAGCCTTAAACTCTTGGGCTTAAGTGATTCTCTTGCCTTAGTCTCCCAAGTAGCTGGGACTACAGGCACCCACCACAATGCCCGGCTATTTTTTTTGTTGTTGTTGCAAATGTCGTTGTTTAGCAGGCCCTGGGCCAGGTTCAAACCTGTGTGCCTTGGTATGTGTGGCCTGTGCCCTGCCTTCTAAGCTATGGGCACCGCCCCATCAGTGAATTCTTATTTCAGGCGATTTTATAAGCTTGAAGGAAACAGAAGTATTTCACCCCAAAATATATTTCCTTGACATAGTTCAAGACGGTTGTTCAGAAGGGCTAGAAACACAAGAATAGCTTAAAAACTGTCTTTTGTGGGGAAGATTTCCATCTGTAGAAAAAGTCTGCATTAGGCTCAGCACCTGTAGCTCAGCGGCTAGGGCACCAGCCACATACACTGGAGCCAGCCTGGGTCTGCCAAACAACAGTGACAATTACAACCCTCCCCCCCCCCAAAAAAAAGCTGGGTGTTGTGGTGGGTGCCTGTAATTTCAGCTACTTGGGAGACTGAGATAAGAGAATCACATAAGCCCAAGAGGGCTTGAGGTTGCTGTTAGCTGTGATACCACAGCACT